TTTCCGTTCCTCTAAGGATATAGGCTCTGAAACCTTTTCCTTATTCTTAATGATTCTGAAGAACCTAAAAATAAAACTACAAATTTTGATTAATTTTATATAATTATTTGTTCGATTTAAGAGGGAGGTTAAACTATAATTATTTTCTAACATTGCAAAGTTAGAGTCTGATAAACATTTTAGTTTCTTGACATAGTCATTATCAGTGGTAGGCTCAAGTGGTTGTTCTAATAATGCATGTCCTCACAGAGAAGGTCTGGTCCATTCCACCAGATATCACACGTAAGAATGTCGTTTGCATCCAGTCAACGCGATATGACATCAGCTGGGTTACATTCAGATGGCACATATTTCCATTGGTATGACCCCGTAAGCTCTTGTATTAAAGCAACTCTGTTACTCAAAGTTTTTAGTAAGTGTGGTGATTTTCTAATCCAAGCAAGAGAAATCGTATAATCAGACCAAAGAATTACTTTTTCTACTTTAATATTCAACGAAGATATCACTTTATCCATTAATCTGGATAATAGAAGGCAACCTGGAAGTTCCAATCTAGGAACTGATAAGGTTTTTATAGGTGCAACTCGTGACTTGCTATACAAAAGTCGAGCGGTTGGCAATCCCGAAACTGGTAAAGCTTGAACATAGATTGCAGCTCCGTATGCCGAAGAAGATGCATCTGCAAACCCATGGATCACTATGTGATCTTTTTGGAACACAAATCTAGGAATCTTAAGATTACTTAGTTCAGAGAGCTTGGAAACGAAATTAATCGACGCCTTGTGTCATTCCAATTGAGTTTAGCAAGCCAGAGCCTTTGCATGAATATTTTGGCCTTTGTGACCACTGAACCAAGGGGATCGAATATTTTCGAAATTAGTGACAGAACATCTCGTTTACTATAACTGTTAGAGTGAGGAACGGTCATCGTAAACAAAGTTAGTAAGAGCGACGGACGATGCTAGAGGTAAGTTTTGGTTTTCATCTGTAGCTAACTGTTTAAGAGCTCGAGTTGCTAGATAGAGAGCGTTTGACGTCCCATACGTTACTGTGTTGAGCTTATAAGTTTGCACTGGTGCATCAACACTGTCCTTACATAGAATTCTGAGCAAGTCTCTTTGTGGAGGATGTACTAGAATCTGATGATAAATTTTTTGTACATCTGCTGTGAAGGCGTAGCGATGTTTTCTAAATCTAACCCTTATAGAAAATAATTCCTACTGTGGAATTCTTCCCTTCAACAAAATATCGTTTAATGACAATCCCGATGTCGTGGCAGTTGAGGCGTTAAAAACCACTCTTAAACGTGTACTACTTTTGTCTATCTGTAAACCCCATGGTGAGGTAGGTAGTACGAATCAGTTATGGATTCAGATCCCTCAGCTAGTTCCATATGCTTTAAATCTTTGTATTCTTGCATGAATTCAGAATACAATCGTTGTAAATTCGAGTCCCGACCCAATCGTTCCCAAACCTGATTAAGTCATTTCTCTGCTAAATTTCTAGACTCGCCTAACAATTCAGAGTCCTTCATGGGCATGCATACGATGTACTGACCTTCAAAGGTTCGATAATGAGTTTCATTAAAATGTTTTTCGCAATATTTCTCTTCAGGACTAAGTGCTGAATACGGAAAATTAATATTTTCTACCTCCCAAAATTTTTGCAATGTTTCTTCAATTTTTTCATTTTGAGTAATCAGACCACAGTATTGTGATTCAAGTGGTGAATTTTGCACAATACCACTAACTACGAATCCAAAAACCGTTTTCTGGAACAATAAGTCTTTTGTCGCGCTGCGAACTTGACCCGATTTTAATAAGTCAAAGAAACATTCTGCACCCAGTAATAAATCAATTTCCTCAGGTGTGTTAAATCTGTAATCAACTAAGGAAATATCCCTGGGAATGTCAATATTTTCAATAGGTATGGGGGTAAGGGGAGTCATTTCTGTAATTTTGGGAATAATAAAAAAATTAAGTTCTCTAGAGAATGTTTTTTCCTTATTGGCAATTGAAGTCCTCAATTTATAATTTAAAGTAATATCAGTTCCATTTAATCCTGAAATCGAAGCGAAAAACCTTTGTTCTTTTAATCTCCAATTGTTTTGCAAAATGAGCAGACACGCAGTTAATCTGTGAGCAGCTGTCAAGAAGAGCCTTTCCTTTGATGAATGTCCCTTTCGAAGATTTCATCATAACTATCGCAGATGGCAAGATAACACTTTTATTCGTAGCTAATAAACAATTTGAAAGACTCGTCGCCTTCTCATTAGGCTCCGGAGAAATATCCTTCCCCCCAGCTGTCTTCTGCTCTATCGTCTGCGGATGTTTATTTGAAACAGAATCCGAATTCAATGACTCATCCTTATGAAGCAATGTATGATGTTTTGAATGGCAAATATTGCAAAAATGATTCGATCGACATTGCTAAGCAATGTGCTTTTTTTTCCCAAATAGTATAGACATAAGTTATTTCGTTTTACTATAATAAATCTTTCCCCAAAGTTCATATCAAGGAATTTACTACATTTAAAAAGGGAATGTGGCGAATTACATATAACGCAGTTTCTTTCCGAATTATTTGAATGAACAAGGAGGTTTTTTTGGTTTTATTTCATTCGTTTGTTTTGATTTTATTGTGTGTTTTTGGATGTTTTCCAAAGGTGACTTCTTTTTTCTAAGAATGTCATCAAGTTACCGAAATTAGGAACATCTGAAGCGTTTACCGATAATTCGAATTGTTTTCGAGTTTCCTTGTCTATTTTGTCTAAAATGACAGTAGTAATTAAAATATCAGAGAATTTGTTTCGTTCGAAACCCAAATTATTTAAAGCTCTAATGTTTTTATTCACAGCATCTACTAGACGCCTTAATTCTTTCGATGATTCATGAATAATTTTTTCGAATTCTAAAATAGCTTTAATGTGAATATTAACAAGAATTCTCTTGTTTTCGAAGCGATTTTCTAAAGCCCTAAATAATGATTCAAAAGTTTCCTGAGTTTTCAACAATTTTCTTCCTGAGTTTGCAACAATTTTGCTTCTCCCTTAACACCGGCATGCAGATAATGTAGCTTTTGTGCATCTGTTAATTGAGTATTCGAGGTAACAATATTATTAAATTCAATTTTAAACATGCTCCATTCTTCATACTTTCCGCTAAATTGCGGAAGTGGAATTTCAGGTAACTTTATTTTACAACTACTCTTTGCGATATCAACCTTATTAATATTAGCAACATTATCAATTAACATTTGATTGAAACTTACCTCTAGATCGTCGATTCTTGCTTCTAGATCTAATAATTCCTCTTCTAATTCAGAAGTGTCATTCTTTTCAGGCACAGCAATATAATATTTCGATCGAAGTGCATCCAAAGCAACAGACATCTTTTCCAAGGCCTTGAGCTTGGCATCTATTTTGATTTTAGTCCATTTGCTGGTACTATCCGTCATGACAGTCTCTATTCTAGTTAGCTGGGCTTTCAGTGAGCCCTTCTTTCGATTTAAAGCAACTATAGTGGACATTCTATAATAATACGAACTTAGTTAACAAAAACAAAACAACTCCGCGAGCAGACCAAAAATTTTGTTTGGTATAAAATGCTATGAGTTACTAAAGATAAAGGCGCTGGTTCCAAAATAAAACTAAGTTAGGCCACACAAATATTTAATTATTTTGGTATAAAATGCTATGAGTTACTAGAGATAATGGCGCTGGTTCCAAAATAAGACTAAGTTAGGCCACACAAATATTTAATTATTTACATAATGTACAAAGTAAGTGCTCCATGAGCACAGACAAAGTGGAACGAACGAACGCACCATAGGTCCGCTGCGTACCTTCTTCAACAACCAACTCAACTAAATTTGACTCCTCTCACAAGAGGGCGCTGTATTAAACCGAACACCGTTATTGTTCATAAGGCTTATTTGGAGTACAGAAACGTTGCTCTCATGTAACAAGGAGGGCACTGACTAATGTAAATATCCTACTGCAAGAACCGACTATGTAGGGTTTCACTCTTTAATTAATTTAACTTTGTCCATGCTGAAATTCTAAAGCGACTTATCGTCCCGGCTATGGAGATAACAACTGAGTCAAAAGAAGGGTTAAATTACCTTTCTTATTTAAAACTTAACAAATGTACTGCTTATACTTACAATTTAAATATGCACACGTTGCGGCATTTAATATAGTATAGATTAATATAAAAGGTGAATTGAAATTCAAAGTAAAATTGATGCCGGAAATTCAATGTACGAAAGTGTAACAGGCATTCACAGTGAAATAGCGTAACAAGTATTTATAGGTGCTCGTCAGGATTACGTTCGAGTCAAATTTTAGGCTAGATGCATATTATGTATAAGCTCTAATAAATATTAAGACCTATTATTACCATATTCTAACTAGAAAATTTTCTAATAATTGTCAGTTTTATATTTGTGCGTAATCATATTATTGTAAAATAGTACTAAGAAATGGAAGAAATGTAGAATGGACAAAATTGCCTTACTTTATTGCTTTACTTATGTATAGAGATAAAACAAAATTCCCAGATAAAAATAATTCTATAATTGTAGTTTAAGATATATTTTTTCCGCTTAATAATATACTGCTTTACTTCCTAAGATTTTTGGTCTCATTAATCTTCGAAAGCAAAGTAGTATTAGTGAGAGAAAAAAAATATATGTTACGCTACATTATAGAAATATTTTATACTTCGATTTATGCTTCAACTGAGGCTACATTACTTGTGAAGCTTGCATTTAATGAGCGAGTTGGTTTATCAATTGGATTTCCGGTCATATTTCACATATAATAATTTTAAATTCTTTTGAGCTTTTACTTTCATACTTTTTGATGATTTATATGATTCAGTTATTTAATATTTAAGGGTATTAAGTAATAATTGTATTTTGTTTTTAATGAATCCCAAGAAGATAAAATGTCGCGATTCATTTATAATTTTAATTATATTTTTTACTTTTACTTTTAGGCTATATTAAAGAACCCAAGCAATCTTCAGAAATCGTTTGGTTATACATTTCTGTCACTGTGGTTGAAAGAAGGCTTGATTGTAAGGTAATAATTCATAATTTCTGACATATGTGGTGGAATGTTAAGACATAATTTAAGATATCTGGAGCAAAAGCGGGCTTAAACATCCGAAACCAATATTATTTATATATTTTTTTGTCTGAACCTTCGAAATAAAGAATATATGTTTAGTAACCAATTCTACTGTCATTGAAGAGCAAAAGAAATGACATACAATATAATATCGCTTAATTGAATTGTCAATTAAGTATAATACTTCAGATCAACAGTTCTCTTGAAGTATGATGTATACACCTTTCCTAACAAAATGTCTATTTCAAATATTTTTATATTCATTTAGAATATAAAACAACCACAACTCTAAAATATCTCTTTTATGCTATTATCGTATAGTAAATGTTGGTACAATCTAGACTATGCGATATTCATTTATTAGATGAATGACCAAATTACCTAAAGATTATAAGACTTTAAGATAACTTACTATGAATTTTCTGATAATTCTTTAAATATGCACACTCTCTTGAGTCTTTAAGAAAAGTTCTCAAAGTTGAGAATTCATTTTGCAGAAAATTTTATTTTGATTCTAGTTAACTCTCGTTCAAAAGTATTCTTTTCAGGGTAGAATAATAAACGTATAGATAATAAAAGATATGTTTTTATTAAATAACTGCTTTAGAAACTGATAGTTACAGCTGGAAATTAAAAACGCTTGTGAATGCATTGTGCCTGCAAGGGCTCTAGAAGGCTGCATTTTATAACAAATTGCAATCATTTTCTTTAAATGTATGCATTTTGCATGTTTTGTATTATAGAAAATGTAGCAGGATTCAAGATCTAAGAAGATCTAAGAAACATACCCTCAAATGAACACTTTGGAGTGCGAAAATATGTTTTAAACTTTCATTACAAATTTATATTTCTAGAAATGTGATGTTTATTATACATAAGATATTTAATATGCTACGGCAAAATACATAGAAATTTGAAACTTCAAACGAAACAGCTTATTGAAAGACATTAGATAATTTTTACATTACATGAGGGTGTCTTATAAATATAAGCCCATAAATATTCATCCTCCAGATTTTAGTATATTTCATGAAGAGTTGACATTACTGGGAAGCACTCAAAAAGTTCAAATTTTATTAGCCGCTTATTGTGCGGCTGATCCTATAGTCATCCAATATGTTGTAGCGTTGCGCGCCTCCAACTTGCACGCAACCAAGAGGTGACTGTGAAAACTGGATAAAAGACAGAGTCTTGTTAATGGTTTAAGTCCCTTTTTATTCAACGTAATAAATTACAAGTGCGTGGTCTTGACGCTCACAAACTGCGCCAACTCGGCGGTCAAATAAAAATAATAACCTGAAAAGAAACTAAAGACAAGACTCTAACTACGAGGCTCTCTAAAAGTAACTAACCTCACCGCGTTTTACAATACCGCTGCTAATTCAGCAAACTTGAAGATCACGTTGAACGATCAACAATACTTCCAGGCAAGCACACAGGCCGAAACGCGGGGTTCTTCAATTTCTGGCTAACTACCTCCGCGCTCGTGAAGTAAGAACAGCACACCTGGAACTCGTTTCATTTCTATTTAACTCAGGATACTTCCGCTGATAATTTGAATCCTTGCGCGTTCTACTAAAATTTACATACTCTGGCATTGGCAGTTCCAGGGGAAAGTAAGGCTTGACAGGAAAGATAGTTTAAACTTAAAATAAATGTTAGTTAAAATAAATATAAACCCTACAATGTGTTACGAGAGTGGTAGCTTGAGTAGGTCTCTGTATTATAAGCAAAAAAGAAGACGTTGCGGAATTTGGTATTATTCTATGAATTATTGTAAGACTTTAGAAGACTTAGACCATCTTTGACGTGCCATTGTATTTCTAAATGTCTGTAAAATACCGAATTTAGAGTTATTATTTATTCGTGAATATTGTAACTTCGTGCAAGGCATATCTTGGTAATATTCGACACTGATCATCTTTGTTCTTTTTTTTTGGGGGGGGGATTAGTTTGCAAAAGTTTGCATATAATATGATTTAAGCTTAATATCATTAAATTTAAAAGAAAAGGAGTTGTTGTTAAATCATATGTTCAGATCTTCTAAACCACTTCTCTGCTTTCTACATGCGCAGTGATTAATTAATTTAGCAATGTAAAAATGTCGGTAAGAAAATATTTGCCCATTTTCGTTTATGTAATATAAAGCCATTAATTATAAATCATAGAAAAAATGTCTTCCAGTATTTAAATACCATTTTGCAATACAAGCATTTATTCTCACCTGCAAACCGAAAACGAAGAGAAAATTAAAGAATTCAATATTTTTCATAGAAACTAAAAATAAATGTTACAAAAATGAAAAACTATCCTAGTCAAACAGGTTTGCTATATAAACGGGATCAGGACTTTTTAAGAAAATGTTTTCTTTCCAACTAAAAATACGTAAATAAAAAGAGAAATAAAAAAAAATCCAAACATTCAATTACTCAAGTCTTTTCCTCCGTAATTAGCGGTCATCTGTGTTATTTAAGAGATGTGTCACTCAAGCTAAACTATGTTTAAAAGGGAAAAATTGAGGCTAAGTATATTACTGAGAGAGAAAGCGTGAAAATTTGGGATGAGCTGTCATGAACAAAGGAATATTTTAAGAGTCCTTCGAGGAAATGAATTATTCATCATTAACACTAGAGACAGATTTATGTAAATAAGACACACAATCATAATATCCAAGGATTCGTGTCCTCAAATGAGATAAATGTTATTCATGGCTGCTTTGATCAAATCAAATCTGCTTTTCTTCACATTATACGGACATATTTCGTGTATGTACGTACCTATTTACAGGTTGCTAATACCAACCAATTAGATGAACGTATTTATTGCGACAACGGGAGAAAATGAGTCTATTTTACGGAATTTCGGAAAATCTTCAACATCAGAAATGTTATCGAAACCATGCGTGAAGCATGGTATGAAATTACGAGTAGAAAAATTAGAGTAGGGTGAAAACATATTGTACTACAATAGGCGAATGATTTCATTCGTTTTGGAATAAATTTTTTTGAAATCTATAGATCAGTAATTACATAGTGGAAATTGGACAACGATTTGGTTTCTGTGAATTAATCTCTGTCAATGGATGAAAATGCATCAAGTCATATACTAATGTAAAAGATAAAAAAAAAATAAAGTAAAATAAAATAACATAAAATGAGAATTTCAGATATAATAATAATATAAAATCTGGAAGTTTAATGATCTGAATAAGCTTTATAATCTGAATCCGTAATCTATTACGTCCAAAGAAGAATTTGTTTCATTTACAGACGGACACATTTCGAGAGTATCTGGGCTAATGCCCCTTTGAGCTAAACATAATTAAAAACAGCATAACTGTAGAATTTTCGTTAGACAGTCTCAAGCACTGGAGATAAAATATTTTTATTTCCTTCAGTGTAACCACTGCTCACTTTGAAATTGTTGAGCATTTTAATACAAAATTCGTTAAAATTTTACTTAATATGAAATAGACAATAAGCCAAATTCCTAATTCGGGCTTCCAGGTGCTTATATCGGGCGGAGAACTATGTTATTCTAAACTGGATGAGTTTAGTTACCGTTGTTTTATCACAATGCGAGAAACATACATACATTCATGCAGATTCTACATTATTTAGTTTCTTTAAATATAATAAAGGTCGTTAATATTTGGTTGCAAAATTTGAAAAGTGATACAGTCTGTCATAGTCGTTCGACGCAAAATGTTGTCGATTAATTAATTATGCAAGGTATTACTGTATAATAGGTATCAAAATGTTAAGTATTATAAATTAATCTTATACTCTTTTAATAATTTTTTGCGCTTTAGTTGAATATTAATCTAGTAGAATTAAATATTCTGCAATTTATTTTAACTCCTATAGCTATAAGAGAGATATTCATGCTAGTAGTTACCCTAAGAAAAAAGCACTAATTTTTATAAGTTATATTAAACTCTGTAGGACACGTTGTGAGTAAGCTCTGGTAATAACTTCTCTATATCTAATCAAATTACTAGAAATTGGCAAACAATTCATGATTAAAAATAATAAATGAAATCTTCTTTTCAGGAAATAAATAATTTAAGCAACATTTCTGTTATTTGAGTCACATGCTATAAAGATGCACGCAATTTTTATATGGGATAGCTACATAAACATTTGAATTGGCAATTTGCTCTTAATATTATTGAAAATATTACTTTTCTTGAAAAATCGGACGAAGATCGTTTCGAATTATGGAAAATCAAATTTGAATATAATTTTAACATTCAAACTACTTAAACTACATTCGTCTGCTAGAAAGAATAAGAAGTGTCGACCTATAATAGTGAATTTCATTACATTAATTTTTAATTTCATTTGTAGAGTCATTAGGTTATTTTTAAAGCAGGAGTGATGAAAAATGAGCAACGCCCTGGCGGAAATCGAACCACGAACCTCTCGAATACGCACCCAGCGTGCTGACCACTACACTACGAAAGCATTCTAAGAAGGCGGGAGAAATACTTTATATACTCCCCCTTTCAAATGGCGACTGGGGTGTTTAAGGGACGTTCGGGCGCCACTGTAGAGACATTAGGATTATCTTTTTGAAGAAAGAAAGACAAAAATGAGCAATGCCCTTGCTGGGAATCGAACCACGGACCTCTGGAATACGCTGCCAGCGTGCTGATTACTGCACTAGGAAGGCACGCTAAGAAGGCGGGAGAAATACCTCATACATTAAATTAAAAATTTAGAAGAATTTTTAAAAATGGTCATTTGAAACATCGCTTCTAATTTTTTTCTAATTTAAATATTATCTTTCAGAAATACGCATTAAAAATGTATGTGATGATTTATTCTCTTTAGCTACATTTGTATATGGGGTCCAAAAATATTAATGGACTCGGATAACTTTGGTTGTATAAAGATGGATTTCACTGCCAAATTCGAAAAAATAAAACTAAATATATACTAAAATAGATACAAAATATAAAATATGTTCTAAATAATAAATATATACTAAATATATATACTAAAATATATATTAAAATGTATCGCGTGACCCAAATTAACGCAATCTAATTGTCTACCTTATTTAATACGCTTTCAAAATGAAAGCCAGTAACTGAAGAAGCTTTAACTTGTGCGATCCTTTTAAAATAACATTCATAAAATGGCAACATCTTTCTTACAGTGAAGGCAACAAATGGAAACAAAGAAGAAAAGCAATCACTTCAGCTTTCCACTTCCGGATCTTGGAAGATTTCGTAAGCGTATTTGACTGCCAGTCCAATTTCATGATTAAAAAACTAAAGGAAGCTACAGCTGGAGGAAAGGTCGTGGATATCGTCCCTTACACCACTAAGTGCACCCTCGACATAATATGCGGTGAGTAATATGAATAAATGCGATAATTATTTTCTTACATTATTAAGCAGCAGTCAATTCAATGCAGCTACGAATCTTGAATCTTGTATTTAAGAGTAAGTAAGTGCCCTTTTCAGGAAAACATGAAATTTTCTTTATATGATCAGGAAGACAGTTCTTGATATACTAAGATTTGTCTTAATTCTACTACAAGTGAGAATAACAAAAATGCTTTTTTTATTTATGTTTTTAGCTGACAGGAACCAGCACGTCTGACATACAATTTCGCAAATTCAAGAATTCGAAAAAAAAAAATACATATTTTCAGTTCTGACAGGTTTGAATATTTCATGTAATGGAACTCCCTCGAAAAGTTGATTCTCCTTCATACTATATTCTTTAGATCTCAAAGATATAAACATTCAAGAACGGACAGCTGCCTTTCCTATATTCAAAAGTTTTCCTAAACATGGATAACCAAGGCTACATATCATTCAATCACAAAATGCTGTTGATGTTCTAAACTGTCGATGTTACATGCAGTTAGTTTATATTTTCATTTCTCACAGTTGATGCTGCAGAATGCAGAATAAAAAAACCTATTTTTTAATGTAAGTTCTTATATACTTCAAAGAAGATCGTGGAGTACCCATCATTGTACTTTTTCTTCACCAATGGCGCTTCGCATTTAAACATAAAATAATTGGTATTTGACTTCAAACCATTGTGGTAAATATATTCTAAGAATTTAACGGAAGCCTCTGTGTTATTTCTTTGCAATAACTATATTATATAAAGCTTAAAGTTTATCTTTATATGAAATATAAAAGGCTGTCTCACAAGTCATAATGCTTCTGTATAACATTCAATTCGATTTTTTTGTAAACAGATAAGGAAACGGAGATTTATAAAAAGAGCTTGATCACATGGCATGAATCAAGTTAACGAGTGTGCAATATCTTGAACGGCAGAAAGAGAAATTTGAATTTCTGTGTCGTCAGTGAAAATGGATAGACGTTTATTTTTATCCAAAAAACAGTACAGTGTTGTGTATTTAAAATATAAAAATTGTATATGTCTATCATATGTGCACAAAAATGAGGAAATATGCTAGGTGCATAGGCGTCCCATTTACAATCAGGAAACAATGTTTTCTAAATGCTTAATATCTGCACGAAAGATTCTATTTAAAATTATAGCCTTCACTGTAATGCACATTTGAACTGAAGATAAATTATCTTGTTGAGAACGTTAATTTATTTAATATACTATAGTAAAGCGCATACATATACTTGCCCATGGTACGTCTACCCCCAGCTAAATATGTTTCTAAGAGGATTTTGTTTAGGAAGCTAGCTGGTAGATCCATTACACCTGTGGAACAAACAGAAAATATTCATGCACCCAGCATATTCTCCAGATTCGATTTCGAAACTACCGATTTTCAAAGGTCTCTGTCATTTGGTCCGTGGCGGGTCATTGGTGGTCATTGCTGACTATAGTAACGATGGAAAATTCACTTCTTGCAAACTTTGGATATGTGATTATTTAAATCTTGTGTGTTTGTTTGCGACGTATTGTAAACTTGCTCCCTTACGAAGTACTACAGAAGAAATCTAAGAGAACAAACATCAAAGATGAAGAATTCAAAAATGAAGATCTTGGGAATTCAAGATTCAAGAATTCTTGAATTAAGGAATCAAATGAGAGAATAAAAAACAGTAAAAAGTTTTGTGCATAAGTAATAAAAATAGTATATTATTTTATAGTTCAGCTAGAGCTGTACTAGAGCTGTTAGTTTTATGAATATTTCCCATTGTAGAGTCATTAGGTTTTTTTCTTTTAAAGCAGGAAATGTGAAAACTGTGCAGTGTCGTCGCCGGGATTCGAAACTGGGATCTCTCGAAAATTTGTCGAATGGGTTGCCGATACACTACGAAGGGAAGCTGGAAGGAGAGAGAAAGTACCTTATAACATTACAGATAAAAATGAATGGACGCATATGTAATTTGGAGAATTTTTAACATATCTCGGGGCAGAAATGTTAATACAATAGATGTCGGATTATCGGACACTTAAGTCTACCCAGACAGGTATATGATGCCGATACCTTCAATGAAATTATCACAGACTTAATTGATAGCTTTGCAAATAGACTGGAGATATTTCAACCGGCAGGCATTTATTGGTTCTTATTGATCAATAGGTTTGTAAACGTTGAATTATGTTTCCAATTTTCGGAGACGACGAATTGCACTGAAAATTGTTTGCGCTGTCAGATGTGTAGAGGCGTTAGGATGCTTAGAGGCATCATTTCAGAAATATCTCGTTTTAAATCAGTCATTAATATAAATATCACCATTCATTCGTCCCTTTGTTTTCAGCTAATACATGTAATAAGAATAGAGAAAAATTAGAAAAATGAGAGGGTTATGCCCTTTTTCTAAATGATAGCAATGGTGTATAGTGCCATACTTCAGTAACTTACCTACAACTTGCATTTTCTAAATAAAAACGGTAAAACTTTCTGTAATTAAAAACAGCAACTTGCTTCGTTTTCGTGAGAGAAATTCTAATTCCTTCAAAAATAAAAGCCCTTGGGTAAGACATTCTGAACCGACAAGGCATAGTTACTTCCTATTTCTAAATCGAGCTGCTGGAACTCGAATGACTTTAGTTATGAAATGATGCATAAAGATACAAGTGAAAGGTTTATTCAGATTACTGTTAAGTTAAGAGTTATGAGAGTTATCTGCCTTTAGAAAGGAATACCTTCGGGGCATAAAACGGAAAATCATGATTATAAGTTATTCATTAAATATGGCTGTGAGCCAAACTCACTTCAAAACTTATCCTAGACATGCGCTTCAGTTTTTAGATTTTCTTAAAATAAGTTCGAATCCCAGACAATGCATGGAATGTAAATTGTCTGTCCAGTCATAGGAGGTAATGGGTAGGCGCCTATTAGGTGCCTCCATAGTAAATTGACAACCATTTCTGACCTTAAGTAATGGCGAAAGCCTAAAAATGGCTAGTGCCCAACATTAAAGGAAATAGACGTATCTCAGCAAACTTTACACGTAAAGATAAGGAATATTTCATTTTCACACCTAAGGCAAAATATTTTACTACTGAAATTTTTAGTTTATGCTTTTTATATAAAAAGTTATAATTATTCAGAGGACTACGTACCCACAGATTGCAAACTGTTTCATAATATTCTATACTTATTTTGAGAAACTTTGAAATTGAAAATAAGTACCTAAGATCAATATTTAAGAAAAGAAAAACCTGTAGCCCTTTTTCTTGAACATCCAAACTCCTTTCCTGTGTAAGTATACGTGTTATTAGTGTATTTTTGATACCTCATTAATATCAACTGAAGATATACAATGCAGCTAAGGGAAGAGTTTGATCTTTTTGTCAATTTAATTGCATCTTATTATTCAAAAAATTACTTTTCGCGTTTTTTCTATGACGATGTTTTTAATATATTTTTAGAAATGTATTAAAATAAATAAAAAGTTCGTAAATTAATTTTTCTTTTCCTATTATTTTCTATTTTGGTAAATTAGAAAACTAAATTTTTCTTTTCGGAGTGCTATTCTCGTTTTAAGTTATTCCTATTCGCAGGGCGCAACTGATGACTACCATATCATTTTTTATTTTTATGTATTTTATATTCATTACTATGTTAATCCGTCATTAACAAATAACAAAAAAGCTCTCGTCAAAAGTAAAATTTCATTTAATTATGGCAACATAATATAATAGTGATTTCATTTTATTATTTTTAGAAACTTCTATGGGAATCAAACTCAGAGCTCAAGATGACGGCGATGCAGTTTACTTGACAAGTATGCACAAGTAATAGAAGTTATTTAATAATTATTTTTATAAACACTTTTATACATGCGTTAATATTAATTTTATGGATCACTTTTGAGTTATGGAGTTAATGCATTGTTTTACAAGTAAATAATTAACTACTTTCATCTATAGTAGACAACTACAGATTGTGTTTACGATTTCTACGTATATGTACGTGGAAGTTCAAAGTTTGGTCATTATTTTATGACAATAAAATCAGTTTGGGACTTTAGGCAAGCTATAGTAAAACATAATAATTCTGTGTTATTTGATTGAAACAAAATTATATCATTTAGAAGTTCTTTAAGTAAGAGATACTGAAAAGTTAAGAAACTCAACAATTTCAAAGCGACAATCTCAACACTGTATATAAATAAATATTTTTATCTCCAGCGCTCAAGTTTGTACATCAGAAATTCTAAAGGTATGTTCTTTTAAAATTATTTTGGGATATTGCCGTTGAATTTAATTTTAGGGTTTAGGTGCGAAGGACATGATATTTGATAAACGAAGGTAACACACAAAACGTTAAAAAACGCCCGTTTAGGCGTAATATAAAATCTGAAAGTTTTCAGATTTTTTTTTTCCAAACCAGGAAACAAATTTTTTGCCACTTTAGGTTAATACGTATACGTATGGCATTATAATTTAAGTTTAACGTAATATAATAACTTAATCAATATCAATAAAAGAATTAAAAATATAACATCATAAATATAATAACAACGGCGATAACATATTGTATCAGTTATCCTAACCCGAAACAAAAAGGTTGCTGACAGCAGCTATTTACTTAAAATGCTGACATTAAAGAAACATTTTCTACAGGCAATGATGTCATATGCAGTCACATGCTTTCTTCAACGTCATAATAGAGACTTATATAATAATAATTTGTTTAATGTTTGGCAATGCTTATTTTTATTTAATATTTTGTGAGACTCAAAAATGTTTTATTAACAAACTCTATGATTTTGGCAACACCTCTCGAAATAAAGCAGATTTTTGTCTTCAGCACATGAGACTGTTACCACCCGGAAAAATGAGTATTGTTATGTTAAAAAGTTTCGACACCAAGGTTAAATAGTTTTACTTCTAGGTACCATGTTATATCTGAAATTCCTATATTGTTAAATGTTAAATATAACTACTTGCCGTTAAAGGGAGTGATCGTATAGTGAACGTTACAGCATTTTTGCGTTTGTGAAAAAAATGCTTCCGGACCGCGTGAGAGGATCGAAAACATAAAAATATACAAGATATAAAGGAAAGTTCATATTAAATATATAAAAAGCATACTGCAAGAGGTTCCAGATTAAATATCAGTTTTTCAATTACAACAATAAGAAAAATCTTAACCTCATCTGAGAGTCTGGTCATTTAAATTCAAAAAAACTTAAGTTGTCTGGTGATTTAAAGAAAGGGAAGGGAAACAATTTATGGCCGAGGTTAATTTAGATTCGACGGTTTTTTTACTGCTAAGGACGTTTTAGAAAACTTGCCTAAAGTTCCAACACACCAAAAAAAATAATACTATCTTGAGTGACATCTTGAAGTGAGGAGAGCTCATATCTTTACTCTACCTTACGTCACTTGGCAATCCAAGCCAGAGACTCGAACGGCACGACAATAAATTAAATCATCTAACCGTCAAATCTTACGCCTGCTACTGGTTTCCATAGAAGAAATTATTCCCACTGGAAGCAAGAGAACAGCTTGCACTGCACGGCTGTCTGCCTAGACTTTCAGCTCCACCAAGGTAAACATAGACATTTAAGCTAGGTGTTTATTATTAAGCTAGGTATTTTAGAGAACGGCTAACTCAGGTTTTCATTTGTCTAACGAGACATAATTCCTTCTGTTTTCAAGTCAAAGTTCAGAAGACATTGTGTTGACCTTTGCTGACACAGATATAGACCAAAGTCTCTGCTAATTTTAGTTATTCGCTCAACAGTTTTTTCCCCCCTCGCATTTTTGCGAAAACCCGTGGCCGGGGAGCATAAATGCTGCTCCCCACCGGAAGCACTGCTCGAGCCGACTAAATCTTCTTTCTCCTCGCAACCCCACGTTTTTCTCGTCTCCGTCAAAGTCCAGCAAGGCCCGAAAATCAGCGAGTCAGTCATGAGTCAGTCAGTCAGGGGTCTAGAGTAGTGTGTTCCAACTCGAATTCCTTCGTCCCCTTCAAAAAAACGGGCTCCCACTATGCTTTCACTTACGCCCCCGCATTAGGGCATCTTCGTTTTCAACTCCAAATGCGGAAAAAGGGTGATCGCGCATGCGCGCCCTTCTTCACTTAGCCAACAACCGGACCCCTCAATCGCCAAAACTGATGACTTACATTGAAAGACAGTAGCAACCTTTGACCTTTCCGTCACGTACTTCCCTCTCTTAAGGTCAACTAACCATGAAAATTCTTTCCGAACATTCAAAGCGCGCGAAATCATGACTGGCGAAAATTGCCTCCTTTCCCTGCTCTTTCACATGATAAAAGTTTGTACAAGATTTACAAAAAAGAAAATAATAATATTCATTTATACTATATTTCCCGAAGCATCTGTTTCTCACCAAATTTAAAGCCTTATTAATAATTCAGAATCAAATAAAATTTAAATTTCATAAATCAAAAATCATTCACCTAATTTTTATAACGCTATCCGGTAATTTCTCTACATAACAGAATGATAATTAGCGTTTTCAGAGTTTTTTAATTAATATCTCGGCTTAAAGTCGTACAAAGATCAGAACGGTCGAATTGGCTTCCTGCAAAATTTTGGAATTCGAAATAATATATTTAATGTTTGACAGTGCTATTTTTAGTCCAAAGGGGCTTTGTCTCTGAAGGACTATTGTTTTCAATTTGCGATTTCGCGTTTAATCACTATAAATGTCCGTTTCACTTTTCAATTTGCCCACCAAATGTTAGAGTTCTTGGATTATATTTGAAGAAATTAAATAATGAAAACTCTGCATAAATGTATGCCTATTTCTCGCATTGTTTTAAAACAACGGTACATAGAGCCATCGAATTTTGAATGACGTAAACCTCCTAGGAATATGGGTATGTGGAAGACCAATTTGAAATTTGGAATTTGTTTTATTACCGATTTTATATTTTGAACACTAATGAATTTTTGATTAACAAACTCAAGGATTTCAAAGAGAGCAAATTCAACACTCTACAAGGAACAAAATACCTTTTTGTCTCCAGCGGACTCGGAACTCTGTATCGGAATTTCTAAAGATAGGCTCATTTTAAAATATTTTGTGACATTGCTACTGAACTGAGTTGTATGGTTTAAGTGCAAAGAACATGATATTTAATAAATAAAGGTAACACGCAAAACGTTAAATAAACGACGTAATTTAAAATCTGAAACCTTTCAGATTTTTAGTCCAAAGGGGCTTTGTTTGGAAGTAGCAACGAAGTTACTTTTTTCCCGCTCATGCACAATGTAAAAAGGTAGAAACGAGGTGCCTTTTGTATTTCGTATTTTCTAAACTTACAAATTTTTTGCTAACAAGTTCTACGATTTGAACGATTTCAAAGCGATCAATAGCAACACTTTTCAAAATAAAAAGCTGGTTTTTATTTCCAGCGCACGAGACTCTTGCCACTAAGAAAAATGAAGGCGAAAATCAGCGTTTTAGAGTTTTTAATTAATATCTCGACTGATTAAAGTCTTACGAAGATGAGTGTTCGAAATGGCTTCATATGAAGGTTTGGAATACGGGGGATTTCTCTCTCGAAACTCAAGTCCTCGCCGTTCCGGATGAGAGAATTCTACAAACAAACAAACAGACAAGCACAGATTTATAATAGTATAGATATTTTTTCACGCAGCTGCTTTCTCATTTAAAATATTTATTACAAAGTACCTCCAGTGGTTGAATAGTGTTGCCATAGTAGCTTTTACACCAGCTCACCAAACGAAGCCGCTATATAATTAAAAAGGAAAAATCAGTTGCCACAGTCTTTTATCTTCAATCTTTTGGATCACGCATACTTTTACTATCTTTATGAAACTTAACATTCAGTACTATCACTCGTGCAGTTAAATTTATTGACCTCTTACATTCCGTAATGAACTTTAGTTGCATTTTGGTCTTTAGGATAAGGAAATATAATAAAAACAAATCTTGCATTTGGCACTTGAATTTCGATTTTACTTATGTAGAGTTCAAGTAAAGCAGAAATGTATGGGCTGAAAAATAATTGTGACAAATAGCATAACAAAATATGCAGTTTTTTTGCATATGTTAGTTTTCTTTAGTTCCCATTTTCATTCCATGCTCTTCAAAATTACTTAATTAAATAATACTTAAATTAAATATTAGCTCTTACATATTTCAATAAATTCAGTATTTGATGTGAATCTAATATGATGAGTAAGCTTTATATAATCGATCTAGAATAAATGCAGGTAAAATCTTAGATATATCTTTATATGGTTGTGGAATTGTGTTCGGGTGTTTTTGCAGGGTCTGTGAAGCCTTTATATCGAGGTTACTTAGGCCATGGCTCTGGCCTAACTGGATATATTTTAACACTCATGAAGGGAAAATGTTCAAAGAAAACATCTTTGCAATGGACAAGTTTACCAGGCAAGTAGGTGAAAATAATTTATTGAATTTTAAAGCGTATACTGCAATTAGAGATTATATTGAAATTATCTTTAATTGCATGTTTTGTATTCTCGTCGACGTTCCTTTGATAATATGTATGAATGTAAAATTTTATAATAATTTTTGTGTCAAAGCTACAGATTTGTTAGAGCTAATAAGTCGATAATGCTTTCTATTTTGGCTTTCACTATTGAATATTTTACTAAGAAATAGAATGCAATTATTGTTTATCTTTTTGCCTAAAATAAGTTTTAAAACAGTATATAGTTTTTCATTTACACTATACAAATTATGCTACATTAAAATACTTAAAAAATAATGAATTTGGTATGTGTAAAACAAAGATGTATTTTTTAATATTCATATTTTTATTTAGTAGTTTAAAGAAGTAGAAATCTTCAGCTTAAATTTATACTCAATCTATGCTTAAAAACTCGTATAATACGATACTCCTGAGGGAAAATTTACACTAACAAAGATAGGGAATTATAAATAAATCCTTAAAACATTATAACATAATCTTAATATATAATTTCTATAATTCTACAGCATATTACCTGTTGAAATCAGGTCTACCAGATTAAAAATTCATGTTAAAGGAAAATCATGTTATCTGAAAAGCCAGAAAATTCCAATAATATAAATGTGGTGTATTGACATACGGGTTTTGCACTTTTGTCCAGTTCTTGCTAATTCTTACAATTCGGGTATTCCTTCTGACATGGTACTTGTATAAGTCATGACTTGACTGGGTGTAAACTTAACATACGTGTTTCGAACAAATTTAAGGTTTTATCAGTAAGCAATGTGTAAGGAGTGCAGTGTTGTCAGAAACTTTTGAGCTGAAGTAGCAAGAGAAGTAACGATATATCGCAAAAAGTAGCAAATGGAAGTCAGATTTCACGTGGTTTTTGATTTCATTGATTCGTAAGCTCATATGACCTCTGACGTCATCATAAATTCAATTTCCAAAGGTTCCGTAGGTTACGGATTGTCGTTCGATTCTTGGACGTTATGTGACGCATGTTAGTTTTGACGGAAATCTTAATACCTGATTGTTAACTTCCCATTGTTTAAATCTCCATTTCTTCCATTAATTAAGAGTTAATTAGGGTTGTTATTTCTTTATTAATTTATTTATACCCACCGTTAGGTGACTTCTCCTTTTTGAATTTTTAACATTATTATACTGAATCTTTTGAGTTAGTGGTTTTATTTTTTTATTCATCGCTTTTAGCTTTACTTTAATTATTCATACATTTTAGTTAACATTTCGTTCTGATTGTTTACCTTATTTCGCTTCACCAAATTCTGATTGCTGACAGAAACTTCTTTCGCTTTTAAATTTATCTGTGCTTCTCTTTGCAATATTTATTTCAGTTTTGAACATATATTCGAGGCTTAACTTCTAGGAGTTTCAATCTATTTTCTTTTGACTGTGTATGTAAATTATTTTTAAAATTTTTCATTTTAAAATTAATGAAGTAGCGTTTGAAATAAAAATATATTACAGAACAAACACAGCGAAAGCATTGTAAAACAGCTTTCTCTTTTAAAATATAAAATTTTGTTTTCTTTAAGGAAGAAAACTATGCTTCAGTAAATTAATTAATTTTTTTTCATTTCACATTTACATAACCTTCAGTAAGCTTTTATCTTATTTGTTTCATTCATTTTAGCTGATTCTCAAACATGGGTATTTTAGGCCTTCCATTTTGAAATTAGTTCTGATTTTTTTCATGTTACTCACAATCTGCCTTATAATTAATATTGAAGCTATAATCTGACTTCAGCATTGGAATCCTACTCATAGCTCACCAAAATATCACACAAAGCAATCAATGAAACGGATGGAAATTTCAACTACTAATGTTGAAAACTCGGTACCCACATAGTCATGGATCACGACTGCAGGAAATCTCAAGCTAACATTCGCTTTATTTATGAAAGCAATTTCTCAGTTTTCTTACTTCTTAGAAAGATTATGTTTCTTTTTAAATACAATTCATGAAACGTTTCGAAAGTTCATGTTCTTTATATATTTTGAAGCTCTCCATATTTGCCTAATATGCGGCTCTTGATAAGTAGACACACTATCTTTGCTAGCTACTAAGCTGAATATTTTCTTGTCAGAAATTTCTGTAGACAATAATCTACCTTTCTCTTCATCGTCACATTACCCTACTAAGGCTTTTAAAATCCAATAGAACTACTTTTTTTTTCCAATGGCAGATTGTGAGCAGTTACAGTGTAATACAGTCCATTAATCTACACAAGGCCAGATGAGGTGGTCTCTTTATTATAGAGGCACCTAATAGGTGGGCCACCATTGCCTCCTATGAACGGACGGACAGTTACAACCATGCCTTCTCCGGAATTCGAACCCAGGCCCTTCAGTATCGCAGTCAGGCTTCCATAACCACTATACCGTACTATACTGGGCGGCGACCTACTATTTAATGAGACGTATAATTTTACTGAATCCAACTTGAATTGAAGAGTTTTAACACAACGTAGAAATTTTAACAAAAACAGCATCTTAGGGGCAGCTGGCCATCTCATGGTATAATCCCCTACTTTCTCACACTCGCAATGATGAGATGTCGCTTGGGGGCATTCCGTTTGGAAGCTGTGGAATAAGGCCATTCCACTCAATCTCTCTAGAAAACAAGGCATTCGGATACTCTAGATTTGACCTCAGCTGTAGATCCACTCGCCTGCTAACTTGCAGTCAAATATATTTTACTTCAGAAGGAAAGTGAAAAGTAAAATGCATCATAATCGCATTCTGTAGAATCCATTCGACTAATTGGACTTGATCAGCCCGGGTTCCTCAAAAGGACTCAACCTCTTTTGGGGATGGATGCTTTCAACCCTTTTATTCTGCCTGGCGCTGTTCTGCTCGAATCTAAACAGAGATACTATAATCTAATTTATCAAATATGGCCGAGAATATCGCACCGCGACGTCTCCTGCTCGACTAAGTAATGCCATAAAGGCCATTAATATAGGTAAGTCTTCAGTTGCTCCCTATCGGAGGAAAACGTATAGCAGGTAATAAAAAGAGATTTAGGTATATATGTAAAAACAAAATAATAGTTCATCAGCTGGTGTAAAAGCATGGAAGGGTAGCGTTAGGAAGAAATAAATGCGATGTTGCCGTCGGGAAACGAAGCCTCAATCTGGTGGTCCGTAGCATTGCGTGCTGAACACCGAGCTGCTTCCTTCCCGTAGAATCTTATTTAATAATTAATCTGCTCCGGTCGTCAAATGGGATGTTCCTTTTAATAAAGTTCAGGTGGTATTCGGATACAATGAAATGGAAAATTAAATTGTTATGTACAAAATGTAGAGTATTTAAAATGCTCATGTGTTAGATTATGTCAGAACATTCTCATTGTTAATGAGATGAGAGACCCTTTTATTGGATCAAGGACCAAGTAGTTTTGGTTACGGAGTGCCTTTGGGGATTAATTGCAATTACCTCTGCATCATCGTTAAGAAAATGAATTAAATAATGATAAGCAGTCACTAAAGGGAGAGGAAAGAAAACCGTTACGGGTCTAGCAAAAGAGCTGTTTAAGAGGTAACCTTTTATTGGTGGCCGTTTGCGCTGCTTTAACTGGATATGCAAATTTTTAGCCTATATTTGACCGACGGGGCTTGAAGAATGCCCATTTCTTAAAGATACTGCTATTCGACTAAATCCTGTCGAATGTATGTCTAAATTTAAGAATTCAAATAATTAACTGTTTACTTACAGCATGATTTAAAAATAATACGCTTAACTCTTAATAATTTATAATATTATTTTATTTACTTATCTGATGTAATTTGATAAATAAAATTAAAATAAAGAATAAAGGGATATTAACTAATATCGCAGTTCTCATTACATGCATCATTACTGCAATTAATAAAAATGTTTATAACACCGGGTATTACGTACTTCGGTTTGCTCACTACCTGACAACGAATACTTTTATTCCTATGTTTGCTTTTTATTTATTTTGTACCTAATACTTCATTCATATGTTTATATACGATGATTTTTGTTATTTATGTGCTAATATTTTTTAAACTTTTATTATTTTTATTTATGTTTAAAAATGTTTTTTAAATTTGCATATGACATTCCTAGATTTAACGTAATTTATTGGGTCTACGGTAATGGTGTTTTAGAGATTACGGATTTGGGGCTGTGAAACATTAAAAATCATCAGTTGTCATGTTGGCATTCAGTCTGTGAATCTTCTGGATGTGTTAAAACACTTACACGACATGAAGAGACCAGGATATTATCGTTTTCTTACATTCTTCCCTACACAAAGAACAAATACAGAAAGACACGAGAGGCGGTCGATCAAATCCTGAAGACGATAAATTATCACCCACTATGTTTATTTCAGATTGGTAGGCAATATAGAAGTTATTTGGATTTTCGAAGGAAGTACCCTGAAAAATCAACTGTGCCCTCAGCAAGATTCGAACCAATGATCTTGAAATTCTCAACCGGATATCCTAAAACCTAAATACCACCAGATGCTCTGCGTGGTGCCAACAAACGGCAGCACAGGGTTAAGCTAGTAGTTACAGTGACCTAACTTGATAAAGTCGTATGTCAAGAAACTGCGCTATGTTAATATTACAAGTTATAATAACGGAGTTTTGCAACCACGCTTGTGTGGATGATAATCTGCGATTACTTTATCATAAAAAAATGTGTAACAATGAACCAGTTTGGAGTTCTGCATTAAACTGTGCAAATATGTTATAAAGAGATTTAACGTGCAATGTTGCGCGCTCCCAACCTGCACGCAACAATAGTGGTGACTGCTATGAGCTGGAAAGTACACAAAGTCTTGAGAAGGGTTTAAATCCCTTTTTATTCAACTTTAGAAATTACAGATGCGTGCTCTTGACGCTCACAAACTACGCCGACCCGGCGGTAAAATAAAAATAAGAAACTAAAAATGAATGACTACCTACAAGTGACTACCTACGAGGCTCTCTAAACGTAACTAACCTAACCGCGTTCTAAGATACCGCTGATATTTCAGCAAACTTATGAATATTAAGTTTAAAGATTCGACTATCTGTCGAGGCGAGCACATCGGCCAAAATGCGTGATTCTTCAATTTCTACCTAGCCACCTCCACGCTCGTGAAGCAAGAAAGCACACTTTCGAACTCGTTTCTCTTCTATTTAACTCAGAATACTTCCGCTGACTATTTTGAATACTTTGCGCGGTTTACTAAAATTTACATACTCTGGCATTGGCAATTCCAGGGGAAAATAAGGCTTGACAGGAAAGATAGTTTAAACTTAAAATAAATGTTAGTTAAAATAAATATAAACCCTACAAACGATTTGGTAATCTGATCTACACAGAGTTTTGATTTCCACAGATGCTTCAAAAGCGAGGAAACGTTTCTTGAAACTGAGATGACACTTGAAAGAATTTCCATGATCATAATCCCCGAAAATGTCGAAAGAATCGCAGACTATACCGAATGTCCTAAGACGATCAGTGACATGACATTGCTCAATAAATACTGATGATGAGGGTGTTGATGATGACGATTATATTAATAACAATAATAATAATAATAATAATAATAATAACAATGCCTGAGAATAATGTATTACTGAAAATGTTATTAAAATCTTACCCACTTGAAATCTTGTTTTTATGTAACTATTTAACCATTTACAGGTAATTACTCTTTATAAATTCTTTCATTTCAGGTAATACAGGAAAAAAAAGCCGAAGTTTTATCCAAATTACAAATAGGCGAAGAATCAGGATCTGAAAAGAAAAGAAAGGTTTTCTTAGATTTGCTTTTGGATCTGCATTTATGTGACCCAGAAAAATTTACTGAAGAAGACATTCAAGAAGAAGTAGATTCCTTTATGTTTGCTGTAAGAGGCATTTCTTTAATTCACATTCTTAAACTAAATATTTATTGAATTCTGTTTTGAATTTCATAAGACCTCTTTTTATTCTTTGAGGTTTTGTTGTTTCTCCTGAAAAGATAACATTCAAGAAATTTTCAATTTAGACATATGCTAGTTAATGTTACTTCGATGCATGAAATACGTATTAGTACGTGAAAGCAAGGTATCTGATAGTTGTAAATGCTGAAATTATCTTAAGTTTTGAATGTTATTCAACAAATCATTTCAAGCGTTTGGCCCATTTATGCTTGCCTTGCCATTTTTTATTATTTCAAAAAAAAAAAAAATTAAGTACTTCAGAAATCCATGTTTAAGACCTTTTTTTATATATTTTTGGGGGATTTAGTAGGTTCATTTCGCGTTAGTAATGACAATTTACATAGAACTGCATTCATTCTTATAGTCGACGGTGTTTTTCTTTTAATCCATTTATATTGTTGTCCAGTTTTCGCTAATATCTGGTTGCAGAGTTTATTAGACATTAATTTATCAATTAATACTATTCGGTATTACTGTGTTTCAAGAATAGAAGTAAAAAACTGAAGATCTAATGATTTTCTACTTCTTCAACCATTAGGGATTTTATTTTTTCGGGGCAGGAGTGTATCTGATAAATCTGACTATCAATGGGTGCATATAACTGAAAGTTTTCGGGTTCTAAAAATGAAGATAGTTTATAATGGATTTTCCTCACACATATATTCTTGAAGACTTTGTCTTGAATGTCTTCCTATGTTCGCAAGGCAATTAAAAAAAAAAAAATTTGGGAGGGGGTTAAGGATAAACCGTGTTAGCTCTGTGCTATATATAAATTTAAAGCGTATCTTAATCCATCTGTTTTAAGCATGAAATATGCATTTTTTCGCTTGGCTCCCAAGAAAAATATATTAATGTTTTACATAAGTTACGTTCACGGTAAAGAATCAAACTGTAGCGTTGAACAAATGTTTATACAATTAAAATTTAACTGATAACTAATACTATGACTCTTCGTTAATACCAATTATATGCGTAAGTAATTATGATTTTTTTCGAAAATCTGTAGAAATGCACTGTGTTTTACATTCTTATTTTGTCATTGAAGGGTCACGACACCACTGCTGTTGGGACAAGTTGGACACTATATATGATAGGACTGTATCCCGAAGTGCAAGAAAAATTAATCGAGGAAATAGATGCAGTTTTTGGAAATGATATAAATAAGCCGATCACCGAAGATTGCCTGCGAGAACTAAAGTATTTAGAATGTGTTATTAAAGTAAGTTTGACTTTTTAAAACTGGAATGAATGTCTTGAGAAATTATTCACGATATTCTTACTAATGACATTTCCAATCCTTAAACAGAGTACATATAAATGCATTCTCAAAGAATTGGTATAAACAAATAAACAATAAAATTACGAACGAAAATGACTATCATGAAACAAATTTGTAAAGAAAAACAGTGTGCTTTGAAAATATCTTGCAACATTTTAAAGGGTGACAGAAGAGACCAAAACAAGCATTTTTTTGTCATAGAATTTTGCCCGGAAATACACTTTTAATCACCAATAGGTGGCGCTGGTTAGAGAAGCGATAAGCTTTGGTAATAAAGCTGCCATCTTCCAACTGGAATTTATAACATTCGTGCCGCCCAACGGAGATTGTGGTTAGCGACGCTGACAGCAGTACCCACCGCCCGTGTTCAAATTTTGGAGAAGGCCCGGACCTTTGTAAATGTATAGTGTCTGTGCGGCATGTGCGCACTCTACATATGCGGCGAGCCGAAAGTCTTCTCGAGAGGTTAGTGGTAGGGAAAGATGGTGGGAGATCCTCGGACCCGTCCCCTCTCAGTGCTCTCTCTCAAAATTGGGGGGCGGAACAGAGAAAGGCCGCACTGTCGGTGTATGATGCTCAAGATTCTTGCCAGCGACAGGGGTAATCTTGACCTCCTTTCTACAATAGAGGATAGTCCTTCTAGTGGGTTTGCTCTGATAACAGAGACATGATCTCATGTTAATGTCAGTCGGATGGGATAAGCCGCAAACAAACAAAGCACAACATACGTCGCTTTAGAAACGTAAAGCTTGCAGATTTCCATCTAACATACGGGACAGCGAAAGGAAACGGCTAAGCGTTCAGATATTGTACGCGAAACGATTCCGACGAAATAACTGCTTAATCGACAAATACCTGAGCGTGAAACCCACCAGCTTATCGAAAGTACGTCTTTCAGTGCTAGCAGATGTGATTTGTGGTGTATCAGAATTTTGGGAGTGGAACAAACTGTTTTACGTGCAGCAGCGCAATCCTTTCATAATGACATGCAGCAGCGGAATCCTCTTTTAAGTGCAACAGCGAAATCCATTATAATTCAACTCAATCCTTTCATAAGCACGAGATCTGTTTTGCATGATCTGGGTCTGAGATATTCACTCGTATATAACTCGTTCACTCGTTCTTTATAATGAAGGCACGCACCCATCACACGTTTAGAAGGTACAGGCAGGCATTGACAGTGGAAGACTATCCACTCTGTGCAGAGTTCACCCATTGTTACCTACAACAGCCTGCAGTACAGTCTGGCTTCCCGCATATGTATTACTTAGAGACGATGCTATATTTACACGAAAAGGACTGTTTAATTTCTGCAATGCACGTGTTTTGTTACATGAAATTCCGCACGCAACAAAGCCGAATACCAGTGAAGATTTTTGAGCCATGTTTCTGCTGGTTTGGTGCATAGTTATTTGATTAGATCGCACGTCCTACCATCTAGTAGCTCGAACGGATGCGAATAACCATCTTCTTGCAAGAAATATTGGCGGAATTGCTGGCTTTACATCCCTGCTTCTATTCGAAGCACTATCCGGTTCCCGCATGATGTTGTTCCCACACATTTTTAGCACTGATGTCAGAAAATATCCCCACGCCACTAAGAGAAGCCGCTAGATAGATGGGGATAAATCTGTTCCACCGCCACCACGATCACCAAATTTGTTATGCTTTGGTTTCTTCATGTGGGGGCATTTGAAAAACACGTATCCGATAGCCCATTGAAGCCGAGCAGGATCTCGTCGTCACTTTAGCTGTTGCTGGTGAAGATGTTACGGACTACCTTTTAAAATACACTGTCTTGAGTGCGTCGACAGCAGGAAGTTCGTTTTCGGATTAGTAAATATTCGTTCGAGCATCTGCTTTAAAACATAACTCATTTAAACATTTTGTTAAATTCACTTTGGCCTGTCTTTCTTTCACTTGTCACATTTTTCTCCGTCATGAACACATCTGAGCCATTTGTATAAATGCGACTAAAATAAATTATAATACAAAGGTATTATATGTAACTAAAAAATAAGGACTAGGAAAACCAGTGGGAATTGTATCGTGGCAGCTAAATAATCAACTTGAGTTTAAATGTCATGATACAATTATTTATGTATATATATATACAGAGAGAGAGAGAGAGTGTTCAAAACTACAGCTACAGATTTATTTTCGTTTAACTCAAAACAATTGTTTTCAAGAGTAATTGTTTATGTTCATCTTTCCTTCAAAGAGCAAATTTCTCAAAACAGTTAAAGAATTTTCTAAATATATATTTTACAAATAGTTGGGTGGGTTGAAGAGTAAAATCTAATTTTTTAAAGTAACTGTAGAGAAAAGATTCAGTTAGTAATATATACGATACGCCTAAAGTATTATTCATAAACCTTTTTTTATCTACAAAAACAAAACTTACCTGAAAACTTTGAGAAGGAATTTATTACTTAGACCACTTTTCAATTCCTATTATGAAAGAAATTTCAAACATTTTAGACGAAATTTAGGAAGCAGTTGTTAGCAATTAGGAAGCAAAGACCTTTGATTTATCACTTGATATTGAACTAAATCATATAGAGAATTTCAAGTATTTTCGCTAAGCTCTCATTTAACAATGGAAATGAGCCCGTATAATTTTAAAACTTACAAATGATATAACAAGGAACTAAAGTTTCTATTTCTGTATTATGTGAAAATTTTCGAATCCAAAGCGCATAGCTCATTGATCTAACTAATTTTTTTGTGTTGTTTCGTTAAGAAACATACATAAGTGATATTAAACTTACTCATATTCTCAGTTTCGAAAAGAATAGAAAAAGCAATCCGCATGTTTCTTTAATTATTTTCGAGTTGAATTATGTAGCAGGTATGGTACAAAGTTTACTCTTGGTGGCGTAAAACTTCTCCTAAACTAGAAATATTATCCAGTGCTGGTTAAAATAATCAATAAGTGCCAATTTTATGAGGATTCTGCCACTCATACACACAATTCACTTTTAAAGTCTCTCAATTACAGTGACAAAAATCACAATCATCTTCTGGTTTGCTTTAAAGATGCTATTTTCATAAATAGTCATGTGGAATCATAATCTCTTTCTTCTAGGAGTCACAGAGGATTTATCCTCCAGCACCCTTCATAGCTCGGCACACACAAGAAGACGTAGAAATTGGTAAGTGACGAATTTTAAAATATTCTGATGCGCTTCAAGCCATTAACAGACTTAATTGCAAAGTTATATCTTTCTCAGAAAGTCTCCTAATTTCTCACAACTGCAGGAACTGAAGGGTTAAATGTGCTAGGGAGAAAGGGAATTCATGCTTTTAATGCAGTTAAAACGTAAGACAGCTTAAAATTACACTGAAGCACTGTTCCAACAATGTGGTCGTCATTTGGGGAATTTGTAAAAGGGCATCTATCTTTTCAGGATTAGATAAACCATGAGGAAGTAGTATTTTATCACTTATTTTGGCATTAATAATTTAGAAAACGGTATGATCAAAAGCCTGATTTTAAAACTCATAGAGTTCTCTCCGTTGTTTTGAAAACAAAGAAAGAACTTTAATTGATTAATAGACAAATGAGCACATATCGTTAATAATCATGTTATGCATATTTTTTAAAATTTATGCATCTAGAATTCAAATAAGAATGATAACATGAAAATGGCGTGCAAAATTTCTAACTTTAAACGAAAATTATGGTGCAAAGTTTGCAGAGACATTAGGTTATTTTAAGGAGGAGACAAGAAAAATGAGCAATGCCCTCGCTGGAACTCGAACCTAGATCTCTGAAATACTCGCCGAGTATGCTACCATTACACCACAAAGCCATGCTGAAAGGAGAGAGAAAATAACTTATATACTCCACCTTTTAAAGGGCGATTGGAGAATAGAGGACCCAATCACCAAATCCTGGTGGTGACAAATTATTTTCCACACCTTTTAGTTCGGGCACCAATGTAAAGTCATTTGTTTATTTTGAAGCGGGAGACGTGAAAAATGTGCAGACTCGAACCTGGGACCTGTCGAATACGCGCTGAGTGTGCTACCGTTACACCACGAGGGTATGGTGAAAGGAGGGAGAAAATACCTTATAAGATATTTAAGTTATCTGTTGTAAATAGTACCTTATTTCTCAAATGCAAGAAGATAAAAGCGCGTGAGTTATCGAAACATTATCGATTTTTGAGAGTGGCTAAAAATATTTACTGCATTAATTTAAAACGGGTTTATTTATTTACTTTTTATAGAATCTAATAGGATTGTCACAGATTATGATGAGTGTGAACGGGAAAAACTTTGAATCTTTAGTTATTCATACTGATTCTGAATAAAGGGGTGGTTTATCAATAGTACTGCTCTTAGTGCATTTTCTTTTTAACCTCGCCAGCTAAATAAGTTAACATTACCACAGTATAGTATTTTTTAATGACATGCAATTAATTCATTTTCTTTGCAGATGGTTTAAAAATTCCCAAAGGTACAACATGTATGCTGGTCATTTACATGTTACATAGAAACAAAGATATGTTTCCGGATCCAGAAACTTTCGATCCAGATCGCTTTCTTCCAGAGAATTCTATAAAAAGGCATCCATTTGCGTACTGTCCATTTTCTGCTGGACCAAGAAATTGTATAGGTAAGAAAATGTCAATCTGGGTCCAAACAAGCATAGATTTCATTTGTAACCTAAGAAAAACAATCTCCGCTTCATTTCTTTCTGATTGGAAACTGTTGAAATATGCTATTATTATGCTATTATTAAATATGCAAATACCAGTAACTTAGAAAAATATATTAGAATGAAGTAATAACCTGCTCTGATTAGCGGAATAATCAAATGAAATTAATTAGCCTAATTTCGCATGTCTTTTAAAATTTAACTGAAACTTCTTCAGTAGAAATACTAAAACAAGCTTCGGAAATGAAGTGTTTGTCTGACATTTTTTTTAAAACAGATAAAACAGAAACGTGTTAATTTGGTTTTAAACTTTGAAGTTCTTTGGTGTTTTTAATAAAATAAGAACATAATTTACTTTTGTTTGTTGCAAGTGAATCAATATGCGCTCATGTAAACAGCTTTTACTTTAATAAATAAATAATAAATATTAGAAATTGTATTTATACAAACTTTATTTGATTATTAATTTAAAATTGTGATCCTGAATTACCGAAATCCTCATTCGATATTTTATTCGGAAATCAGAAATAAGATCTTGTTAACCTACCCTTCGATAATAAATAGTTTTTACTGACATATCTTTATATAGATTCATGGACCTTATTATTAAAATGAAGAAATATTTCTATATTCATATTGCGGTGAATGGGCCCTGTAAGAAAGTTTCTCTTAAATGCTTATAGAGGGCGTAATTGCTTCATGACTCACGTTTTCTTTATTTTTGATCGGGCAACGCCAGTAAAGAAAAGTGCGTGATGGAGCAAGGTAAACTTTCAAATTTAAAAAATGATAAGTATATTCTTTGTCCCTTAATTATGCTCTATTTTGAATTTAAAATAATACTTCTTGAAACCATATACATGGAACCTTTTAGAATTTATATTTATTATATAGTTTGCCGCTCAACAGTTGCACACGAACAGTCTTTTCGAGATTTCAGAATGCATTTTAGAAGCAGACGATAACTCTAAATGACGCAGTTTCTATGTATGTTGTTGAAAATTATTTCTTTGCAATGAACGGAACAAGATGATTTACGTAGAGAAGCTGATAGATTCAGAGTGTTTTACGATTTCTTTGCTCTTGGAATGGCAGTTAATAAATTAGGACTAAAGACTTTAAGGAACGAAATATTATATATTATTTATTCTTTTGGGTATATCCAGGTCAACTAATGGAATATAGTTCAAATTACCCTTAAAAGTGTGTACTGCCCAACTGATTCAATTACAATTGAAGCTCTTGTTACAGAAGCTATTTCTGAAATGATCATGAAAATTACCTCGAAAAACATTTTGGAAATATTAAAATCAGAAAATTTAAAAATAGCTGATAATGGTAGCTGAAATAAAGATATTGCTGGGATCTGATTCATGATGAGATGTGTTAACTGGCGAAAGGAAAAGAGTAAGTAAGAAATTATTTGCGTTTTTTTTTCTATATTTGCTTGGATTTTTTTGAAAGTGATCATTCTAGTTCCTTTGTTCAGTCTAGTTCCTGACGTTTCTCATTGCTTGAAGGAAGATGATAATTCAATTAATGACTGTTTACGAAGGTTTCGACTGTAGACAACATGGGATTATGGGAGAATGAGAATCCTGAGGATAAATTAACTTTTCGGAAATTTGAAAAATAATTGCATTCCATTATGGTAAATATAAATTACATCATTAAAAGTTGCGTAATAATTTTAAAAATGCCAAGCGACGTTTAGTAACATTAGTTAACAAACTAAAAATGATGAATGGCTTAGAATTATGATAGCATAATAAACGGTCATTTAAAAAATGAAATAATTGATAAGTGCGAAATTGAAAGTCTTGACAGTAATAAAATGTGATACATGCGACGTTCTCCAGTGATAAGAAACAATGTATCAAAACCTAAGATCCGTATCGTGTTTGACGCATCTTCGATGTGTAACAGTGAGGTAGGTATCTCTGAACCACTGTTTGATGTTTTGTCCAAATTTGAATACCTCTGTTTTGGACTTAATATAGCGTTTCAGACAACATAAACATGCGTTTTCAGCCGATATTGAAAGCCCTTTCTCCAGATCGGAATTTCTGAAATTGATAGAGGCGTTTTTATACTTGATAATAGTTACAACTTGAAACATTATAGAATGACTCGCGTACCTCTTGGAGTGTCATGTAAAGCTTTCATTCTGACCTGCACTAAAAACCACATAGAGAAATCGAGCTGTTGGAATGGTAAATTTCTCGCAAATATTTCTCCGGCAAATTGAATCAAGATAAAAGTAAAGAATTGCATTTATTCCGTGATGCATCGATTAAGGCGTACTGTGCAGTCACATATTTTAGATCGGTTGATGAAGAGCAGGTTGCGCTCATTGTGTCTAGAGTTGCACCAATAAAACAAAAACTCATACCGACAAAGCTACAGCGTTTTTTTTTTTTTGTTATTATTTTGAACAATTTAAATTAAAAATTTCAAACCATTCATTCAAAATTTTCAATCATTTTTTAAATCTTAATTAGTCTTTCTTGAGCGTTAACTCACCGTAATAAATGGTAACAATCGCACACAACATGAAAAAAAAATTCTGAAAGCATTCAGATTTTATATTACGTACAAAGAGGCATTTTAAAAATATTTTATACATTACCTTTATTTAATAAATATCATGGTCTTCGCTCTCAAACCACATAAAATTCAATTCAACAGCAAGGTACACAAAGCGGTCATAATAAAAAGACAAAAAAGTGTAAGCCAATCTTACTAAGAAAAATAAGCATTGATATGATGAACTGAGAAAAGACTGAAAAATAGAAAAATGCATGCCAACACTTAATACTACATCGGGATTTCTAAATATATACCACGGTATTCCTTTTAAAATTTTGTGAGACTTTGTGTGAGATTTTGTGAAAATTTTGTGAAAAAAGACACGGCCCACAAAATAGGGAGGGTTAACAGGTGTTCAGTAGCAGTCTGGTAGACTGCAGGATCAGTAAAAGCGTAAAAACTTAGCAAACCCTTTTTGGACGACCATTTAAATATGAAACCTATCACACTTTTTTTTGCCAGAGTATAACTTCTTGGTTTGAAATAATTAAGTTTACTATTTAATGGCTATCCGTAGAAATTATACTGGAGAATTACCCCCTTGGTATTGTGTAACTATTAATATTATACACCGGACATAACAAACGTGCAGATCGTAGCTCTTTTTTCTGCGGCTCATCTCGAGTATAATTATAATATGCAATATGCAATTATAATATATTAATAAAAATTTAATTTCCACCAAATGTCGCGACATAAGCAAAGTCTGGTGCTAAAACTGGAGATTTTCTCTTTGCAAAAACGCTTTCTCGATTGACATTGAGGAAGTGCCATCTCATTTAGAGATGGAATTTGATAGAAACTGAGTAATACTCAGCTCTAAAGCAAAAATTTAGTGAAGTAGGTATCCCGAATTATATAAATAATTGCTGCACGTATCTCAGAAAGACAAATATTTGCACCGTATATGATTTCTATAGTATTTGCAACTCACTTACGGAAAGGAATAATTCCCCCTCGATAGCCAAGTTTAAAAGGCATTCACTCGACCTCTGCTCTGAAAATTGTTAATGCGAGCAACATGTCTCCAAATACTCAAAAGTTGGCTGCAGAAAATGCATTCATCTTTTATCCAGTTTTCTTTCTTTTTTTCCCTTTCCTTTTCTTTTTTATGAATAACTGTATTAGGTAAGATTTTTTTTTGCATTTTTTTCTCTTTTATACTCATTACGTCATTAACTAGGAAAAGGCCTTTTTTTGTGGCATGCAATTTCTTACGTTGATGACCATTTGGCACACTTGAGATTCTAAGTTTGACATGACTGTTGTACACCGCGTCTACAAAAGTCTCTACTAGGCTTTTATTTGCTGTTAATAATGGTAGGCAGGCTTTTACTCTCATTTAATGTTTCATTCATGTTTTAAATAATGCTAATATTCATGTTTTGGCGTTTTCAAATTTGAGGAAATCATCTTATGAAAATTACAAAATCTAAACTTTTACGGCTGCGTAACCGGTATAGAGGTTAGTTTCGCTGACTGCCCTGCCGAAGGGCCCGGGCTCGAATTCCGAAGTGCATGGATGTTTGTAAATGTATAGTGTCCGTGCGGCATGGGAACACTCTAAACATGCGGCGAGTCTAATGCTCTAAATATGCGAAAGTCCTTTCGAGAGGTTTTTGGTAGGGAAAGACTGGTGGAGACACTCGGAACCCGTGGTCTCCATCAAAATTAGGGATGGAACTGAGCTACATCGCACTGTCACCTGTAAATGCTTAAGGCTGTTGCCAGCGATAGGCGTAAACTTGCCACGAGGAATTTCGTAGGCTTAAGCTGACGATAAATCAGATAAATGAGCATTAGGAACAATTTTATACCGTCCCTGTTGCCGGGGGACGGTATAAAATTCTTATAATTCTTAATTTGGCGCGGTATAAAATTCTTATAATTCCTAATTTGGGGCGTTATAAAATTCTTATAATTCTTAATTTGGGGCGGTATAAAATTCGTATAAAATTTTGGACGTTATAAAATCCTACACTCACATTAAAAAATATACTCACTTCAAAAATAAAAGACAAGAAGCTTAATTTCCGTACTACAAAAATTGACTGAAATATTAAATTTTAAAATTTAGAATATTTTCCGCTTGTTTTTAGGGGTTGATAACTAAATAAGTTAATATAATTCGAAGTTCATTTTTCCCTTATGCCATTCAATAATGTACTATTGTGATTCACTAGTGTGTATATTTTTTAATGTACAATTTTATTGCAACCGCTACGCCGAAAGAATTTTCATGAAAGTAGTTTATAAGTTCTGAAAAGCTAAAAATGCATTATTAAAATTCTCATGAAGTTTTATTACTTTATAATCATAGTTTAATAATCATTTAAAAAACCCATTAAGTTAAAACCAATTTTTCTTTTTTAGCTTATGCAGATAATGTTATGCGTTCGTTATGTGCCAACACATGAAGTATAATATTGTTTTCTAGAATACGAATCCTAGAAACGGGTACATTATTCACCTGTTTTAGAAGAAGTTGTATTGCTCAGTATTTTTCATGAACATTAGTATAGCAATGCTTATCAGTTTATCTATTAACATAAGAAATCTTTGTCTAAACTATTACTTTAGTTGTTTAAAAATGCAAAGGTTTAACTCTTCTATAGTCAACTTTAAAATGAAATTATCTCGATCAATTTTTATCATACGCGTGTCATACATTTGTATTTTACTTTTTAGAATGAGGGTAAAATTTTAGTAAAGAAAGTAACGTATCAGAGTAACTTACAAAAGATCAGATCGAGTAAATTTCACAACAATGTTTTTTTTTTTTTTTTTTTTTTTTTAATATATGTTGGGCATGGTAAATTCACCAACGACCAGTGTAATTTACAGGTCCTCAAATAAAGAGATTGAATTTAAAAATAGATTTAAAAATTATTGTAACGAGTGAAAATAAAGATTCAGTGACACTAAGTAATTGATTATTCAAAATTTTACACGTGCATCGAAATTTATCAAACGTGTTGTTTATATTGTCACAGGTGACCCAGAAAATCATAAAACCTATCAAACTGAGTTCTTTAAAACACAAACTGTATAGGAATTTATTGCCTCTTTTAATAAGTGTCATTCGTGTCTTATTTATTCATCTGCATATTTATATCTTTAAGAATATAATTTATCCTCCTTGGTATAAAGTTTGTTAGTGTTATAATAACTTAACAGTCAGTTCTCTATCGCGTAAACTTCCTGATACGATCTATTAATTCTGAGTTCGCCAACAGAATCATTTTCATAAGCTTTATTTAATAGCGTGAAGTTGTTCATTTCCTGCTTTAATAATTTAGTAATTTAGTAAATGTGAAGTCATCGCTCTGTTCACAAGTAAGATGCTCGCAACTTGTCTATTGGTGCTCCTAGCTTACTTTTAAAATAATATATATCAACTATTATAAATTATCGAACATCCTGTCCATGCAGGCTGTGCAGAAATCAAATTATGCATTTCTAAAATTTTGCTCTCTTACGAAATTTTATATTTTACTAATTAGGAATATGAGACATAAAACTCGTGATTCACATTAGTTTAAATAACTTTTACCTGGTAAACAAACTTCGTGATTTCAATCAAATACAGTAGAAACTTAGGCAATACATAAAAGTACTTTTAATTCTAGGTAACGGAATTAAGCTTTTGCAACTTTTCTGGAGATATACTCACATTTTACTGATGGCAGTATGGCAACACTTCATCGGGTTGTTACACATGTGCAAAGACAGACTTCCTAATATTTGCTATTTTACTAAAACAAATGATCAATTTTGATTCGTTAGAGACCTAACATTATTTATTATTTATATGCCTATTGATTAGCGTTCTTGTGCGCTAAAATTGCTGCATGTTGGTGTATTTAATTATGGCAAAGCACACGAGGGCTATCTGCCTAAGGGGAGGGATGCCTTCGTGGAGGACTTTCTAAGGGAAACTGGCTCGTATACATATTACACATGGGGAAAACCACGAAAACGCCCGTGCAGCCAGTCCGTTCGCGGGATTCGAACCTCGGACCGAACTACCAGTGTTCAGCGACTTTACCGCTCGGCCACTGGTGGGCTAAAATTGTTGCATGAGTAAACTAGTTTCAATTTTAAAATTTTAAATAACTATTTATTTTATTTTTCAAAAAATTAAACTTTTAAAATACAAATTAAACAATAAATTATGATTCTTTTGTACTTAAAACTCATCATAAAACTTTAACAGGCTTATTACACGTAATTATCACTTAGATGAAATGTATAATCTGATGTAAAAAGGTTTCTGCTTTAAACTCAGAATTTGCAACATAATCCAGATGAGTTTGCTCTAATTTTAGTAACTGTTAATTTGTTTTTTGTTTAATTTTTACGATGTTTCAGAATCATCGTTTAAACATTTTTCAAAATTATTTTAATTCGTTTTGGAAGAGTTATTTTAATACGAGTATGTTTTATTTTAATTCCTTAAATTAAGTACGCTTTTTAAAATATATTCTGGAAAGTTCTTTCAGAAATTAGTTTTTAATTTTAATATTCCAGACAGGAATTTTTTTCAGCTTTCTTTAAACATTTTTGGGAAAGGCAGAAATTTCCGATATTCTGTGTTTATACAGCGAAATGATATGCGAAAGTTTTAAACGATTTCCATTACACGTTTTAAAAGATAAGAGATCCTAAGAAGTTCTAGAGAACAAAACATCATTTGAAAGGTAATTTAAGAAGCATCATACTAATTTTTCTGAAATTTTGAATTTCAAGTATTCTGCGTTTATAGACCGAAACGATATGCAGTCGTTTTAAAAAATTCACATCACTTGTTTTAAAAGATATGAAATTTTTTTAAAAAAGGCTAGAGAACGTAAAATCGTTTCAGAAATAATTTAAGAAGTTCATGATATTAATTCGCCTGAAATCGCTTCACTTGAGAGATTATTTTTTGACATACTGCTGCCATCTATCGGAGAAATATTTTTTTTGCAAACTATTTGAATTTTGGTTTTAATTTTTTTTGATACTGTATGCATTGGAACTAGCTTCTAATTGTAACGTGCATTTAATATTTATATTTTTATAGCGTTCGCAAGAATAATTGCACAGTTTTACATAATAGCAGAATTCCGTTTGACCGAAATTCAAGTCATCCAAATGTATGGTTATTCTGTTTAAACTTAGCAAAATAAAGCATACTTTGAATTTTTAGCGTGTTTATTTTTAGAACTCATTTCCCGCTTTTATAGAACTTTTGGCCTTTTTTTTCTTTCATGTACGTTTGCTTAGCTGTACATAAGGCTCCTTTTTAAAATTATGAATTATATAGTAAATTTTAATAATTTATCGTTCTACTTCAGTAAAGAAATATTAGATATAGTATAAGAGTTATATATTGAATAGAAAAATGTTTTTTTTTCTTTTTTTTTCTTTTTTTAATGTTAGAGATATTTCTATTGTTTAATTTTAATACTTTAAAAATTATATATTAAATTGTAAATTTAGTAACAATTCTTGCTGTCATTGAAATAAAGTGCATACGATTTCTAGATATCTAGAAAGATTCTAGCCATTCAATATTAATAACAATACCTCAGTCTAAATGTTTGAATAAATTACGGATATATTGTGTGTTGGTGTTGTGACTTATCTCACTTGTCTGAAAGTAACATCAGACCAAGCCCCGAAATTCATCGTGGCAAGGAGAGCAAGGTTGATCCTGTCGTTGGCAAGTGCACTTAAGCACCGTACAGGTGACCATGCAATTTCGCTCGATTCCACTCCCAGTTTTCATGGAGAGCGCCCCGGCGAGAGGGGTCTGAGGGTCTTCTATCCCTCTTCCCCTACCACCAACCTTTCGAGGGGACTTTTGGCTCTCTATATATTTAGAGTGACTCCATGCCACTCTATATTTACGCGCGCAAAGACAATATACATTTACAAACATCCATTCCTTCTAAGGGATTCAAACCCGGGCTTTTCGCACCGCACTGTGCAGCATTAGAGATATAAGATAATTTAAGACAGATTGACGAAACTGAATTATTTCATTATATCAAAATACACTATCGCTATCTCTATTTGAGAAAGGATACCTTAGTATGAGGCTTTCCGAAGAAAACTAGCTCGTATTTACGTGATGAAAATCACTCAAACACCTACGCAGTGATCCCATTCTTTAAGTGTGGACACTGCTGAAGTACCAGTGTTTAGCGGTCTTGTCTCCTGGTCGGTTGCTGGTGGGCGCCGGACGGATCAGCGTAGTCAGCGGTAACCGAGGTTTTAAGGACACTCAAATGGACCTAGCATAGAACAATATACCATTGTAAAGTTATGCTAAACCGAATGGAATATGATGAAAAAATGCCGTATCGAAATTTAAAGACAATTTTCTGGGCGACATTTTCACTTGCAAAATATTAACGAATGAAGAAAAGCATGAATGTATTAATGCATTTTTTAATATGTATGATATCCTTTTACAGTTATTTTCCTTTTTTCAGGTCAGAAATTTGCAATGATGGAAGAGAAAACTATGATTGCAAACGTTCTGAGACATTTCAGAATCCAGTCCATGGAGCAGAGAGACAAACTGAAACTGGCAGCAGAAATGGTTTTAAGGTCAAGAAATGGCATCAAGGTCAAATTAATTCCACGGAGATGAAAACAAACTGCATTTATATTTTATTTATACATTTCTTAACATTCCGGAAGATAATATAAAACGCATAAGAGATTAAATTTGTGGAAACTGTGTATGATATTGGTAAAGTAAAACTGGCGACATCTGAGAATAAGTTTGAGAGAAGTAATGCCAGATGAATAAAAAAAGTGGTATTTTATGGTCAGAAAACAAAAGATTGCCTTATTAAGCACAGAAAAATCTCCCCGTGCTTCTAAAGGAAAGTAATGAAGAATTTTCTGAGTTTATATCATGAAGCACATCTTATAAAACGGAGTAATTTCTGTAATCGCGATAGATATATGTAGCACCATATGAAGATAGTCATAGTCTCAGCAAAATCTGTTCAAGTTATGCAAACGCAATGAACAATGTTATACGAGCATTTTGTATGTTAAAAGTTGAAAGAACTTCTTTAAAAAGGATTTTCGTAAAAAGGTATTTCATCAAAATATTTTCTGAAGAAAGCATGATTGTAAATATTTCTTGAAATATTAGAAAGGTAGGTAAGTGCTCTTTTCATGGAAATTTCTATTTATACACCGCATTCACAATTTATTTACCCGGCCTTTATTTTAGCTACTGTTAGTCGCAATTCCAGTTAGAAAAAGGTTTTAAATGGCCCCTATATGCATTTGGTTGCACTGTAAAATTTCACAAATTCAGTTTTGTAAACGTCCCGAAAAATAACTTTTAACACGCTGTACTCTCCGCTTTACGTATATTTAAGAAAATGCAAAGCTTCTTGTAAAAATAAAACACAAAATGTTTGACTGATAAAAACTGATATCATAAAAACTGACCGACATGATGCCATTTTCGATTTGCATTAAGAGATAGGTTAATAAATAAATTAGAATAATTTAAGGTTTATTTTTCTCCTTAAAAGCCAATCAAAGATAATTTTTTGTGATTACTGACCTCTTTAATTTATAATTTGTTACATTTAGTATACTCACTATATAAATTTTCGTTTTAAAATTTATAAGTTTAAAATTACGTTATTAATATTCTCGTAAAAATTTTATTACTTTAAATCAGAGTCATAATCTAATATTTCTTACAAAAATTTTTTAAACTACTAACTAAACTAAATTGGAAATACTGAAGTCTGCCAGCCTTTTCCAGAAATTTACATTTACGCACACGCACACACACATACAAAAAAAAAAAAAAAAAAAAAAAAAAAAAAAAAAAAAAAACATTACACACACAGAAAAAAAGAAAAATAAAAAAATCTAAAAGCTATCAGATTTTACAAAGGGCACAGATTTACAAAGATATCCACAAAGGGCGTTTTTTTTTTTTTTAATGTTTAGTGTGTTACCTCTATTTCTTAAATATCAAGTTCTTTGCACTTAAAATATAAAATTCAGTTCAACAGCAATATCGCAAAATAATTTTTAAATGAGCTTATCTTTAGAACTTCCGATACACAGTCTCGCGCGCCTGGAGATAATTTTTTTTTTCCCCGCACAGCGTTGCCATTACTCGCTTTGAAATCGTTGACTTTGTTAATCAAAAATTCGTTAAAGGTTTACAAAATATGAAAGAGATAACAAATTCAAATAAAACAAATTCCAAATTCCGAATTTGGGCATCCAGATGCCCACGTTATTATGGGCATAAACATATATTATGGGCAATAAACGTACGTTATTCAAAATTCGATGGCTCTAGTTACCGCTGTTTTATCACAATACGAGAAACATACATATATTTATGCAAATTCTTCACTATTTAATATCTTTAAATGTAATATTTGGTGGCAACAATTCGAAAAGTGAACCGCCATTTAAAGTTTTCAACGCAGAATGCCAAAACGAAATGAACAGCCCTTTCTTCTAGGCTTTCTTCTAGGCTAACGCCCTTTGGGCTGAAAATTTACATTAATCAACACTTTTCACAACATTTTGCATAGAAATGCTGGTAACGCAATTTCTTAACATCAGGAATTTTTTCTGATCTGATATTTTACTTTTATGTATGTACAGATGCAAACATATTACTCTTCAATTAATGCGCGTCTGTATATTTTCGCTGAATTCAATATCAAGTATCTCTACCAATTTTTGTAACAAGCTTTGTAGAAAAGTTTCCTGTAACAGAACTATTAGAACCAGAGAGACAGATAAAATGTTAGATATCACAATTTTCACAAAATGGCATTTTTTATTTTGAAAATGCCAAAACATGAGTATTTGCGTTTAAAACATTTTTTGTAGCTGGAAATATGCACATGTTTACGATTATCGGTTTGCAAAATAAAGAGCGGGTAATTTTTTTTTGGGCACGGTGTATGTGTTCGGGAACATGAAGACGTTGGAAAGTACTTCCAGACGTCGTAAGAGGTTTAGACTAAAACTTTTATAGATAGGTTTTGTGTTATACAAACATTCGGAACTTTGTTATAATGGAAATCTATTTATATGAATAAACTGGATAAATGAATTTATTTTAAACAGAGTTTTTGATTACTTCATTGCGGAATCCGATATGATATTTAATATTGTAATAAGGATTTTGCAAATACAGTTTTATCAATTCCTTACACTTTTTTATGCTATACATCGCAGTGATCAATAAAATAACGCATTATCTAATTTTCGTTGAGCTCATTATTAAAGCGTCTTTTTTTTTTTTTTTTTTTTTTTTTTAAAGATTTTTCTGCATTTTATCTATTTGCTGATCTGTTAACTTTGTTAACCTTGTTTTTATTTCAAATATCCTAAGTAGGGTTTTTACATTTCATGCATGACTTTATAAATTTTCTACAGTTATCATGTAAATATTTTTAGAAACGTGTTTAATACTTTCTACAAATCTTTAAAATTCTGATTTATTAACTTTGTACGAATTATTATCTCAAAGACACGTAACAATATTTTAATTTTCGGCATGTTTCAATTTGGCACTTTTCGCAAGTTTCGTTTTCTGAAATATTCTCTAAGATTAAAAAACATTTTATCAAATATTTTTGACTGATTTTTATTTAGAGAGGCTTTTGAAACCATTACTGTGCATTGTGTTCAACAGAAATTAAATTCAAGATACTGTTCGTAATTTACTTTGAATATATGATTTCTTGAGCAAAATATTGCACAATGATAAGTAAGACCGATGTAATTTTTCCATGCATATTAAGGAATATTATAATTTTAGAAATGTTCTTAATAGAATGTTAAAATATATGTCACTTCTTCTTCGGCTAATATTTAAAATTAAGTAATTATAACAATTTATTCTTATTATTGTTTAAAACAAACTGGCATTTTTTTATATTTAATACCAAAAAACATTTTTGGTTGAAAGCTTGTTTTTATTAACAGCATTTAAAATTTTCTAGTCTTATATTTAGCACTGCCTGTAACATTATTATTTGCTCAGTTTCATTGTACAGTGTAAAACTCGGAACGAGCTTAAACTTGCATATTGAATCATACAAACTAATAAAAGACTAAAAGGTGTTCAGTTTAATCTGCTGCACCGAGTTCATGTGAACTTGCAACAGTTCATTCCCTTGCAGATTTTCATTACATTTTGTAAATCATTGTTGTAACAATAAAATGTGTTTTATTACTAAATATTGTAGTACTTTATTGCATTTCAACGCTGTGTAAATTGACATCGACTAGAAATCTCGACTCGAGAGCGCAGCATTGACGTTCAATATTCACCCATGTCCAATAAATTCAGATCTAACAAAATTTAATGAGGTATCCTGAAACTGCAGTTAGAGATAATGTTTTATTTATTTATTTATTGCTTATTTGTGCTAATTTTTATTTTGAACTTTCTCTGTATTTTTCTAAAATTTAAAGATCTGGAAAAGAGATTATATTAAGACTAAATGTCGTCAGATAGTGCTAACATGCCGTGTCTTATAACAAAATGGAAATTTATTTAAGAACCCGAAAAAAAGAAGGAATTTTATATAATTATGAGCTTATTTATTTTAAATGTTTTGAAGATTATCAAAAATTGTTTTCATGTGATTTAACATATGCAAGATAAATCGTACGATGTATTGTTAAGTTTACTAATCCCTGAAAATATGCGAGTCTTTTGTATATGATGTATTAGCAACACTGATATCTGATTCATTGATCTGTGCCCACCAGCGGCCGATTCGCTGAACACTGGAAGTTCGGTCCGAGGTTCGAATCCCGCGAACGGGCTGGCTGCATGGGCGTTTTCGTGGTTTTCCCCATGTGTAACGTGGATACGAGCCAGTTTCCCTTAGAAGGCATCCCTCCCATTAGGCAGATAGCCGTAGTGTGCTTTGCCATAATGAAATAAACCAAATAAACCAAACCATTGATCTGCATGACAATAATGTTCCAGCAATTTTCAACAAAGATGTCTTTCCAGATATTTAATATCTTTGCAGATAATTGAACTTAAAAAAAATTAATACTTGAAAATTATGACATAACAAAAATTGCATGTCCCGTGAAATCTCCTTTGTGCTAATAAAAACGATGTGACTTCAGTATCGTATTAAAAGGATGAATTTTTGTAATGCAACTTAATGAAAATCATCGTTAAAATGGATTACAGCAATCCGCAATAACATTCATTTCCTGTATTCTGCGTTTCGCATCTCACTGAAAATTTACCAATGGATTCCTTCTGCATATAACTACCATACTCTCCAAAGTTCTTACTAAGCCTCCATATTCGCAAACAGTGGTCTTAGAAGTATACCTTTAGTTAAAAATGTTTTCAATGAAATTAAAATTGATGTTTTCGGATTTTTAAATTTAAAAAAAAAAAAAAAAAAAAAAAAAAAAAAAAAACTTTTAATGCGTTCTCGTGGTGCCTATCCTTATATATAAGAAAATTCTGCCCTCTTCGTAAAAAACCAAAAACACAGATGTTTGACTTCCGTACCACAAACACTGGCCAAGATATTTAGCACTAGAGTCAGAGATTTAACAGTCGTACACAAAGACATTAAGTAACGAGCATATTAATGTGAAACGTAGTGATCAAAATAATTGTTCTCAAAGTAGAGATGTTGTTCAGAGAATTTGTTTTCTTGAAAACACTGGCAGGCGTCAGTATTGAAAATCAGCCAACTCATAATATTATTTGCCGTAAAAAATGAAAAGCATTTCTAATTTATCGAATTTGATACACGATTATCAGATTATGAGTATTCTTAAGTAATGAACCTTCATGATAATATTAAAGTACAAAATTAAGTCCCAATACAATATCATTAGATGGCGCTTAAATGTAAAGCATTAACCTCAAAATATTCAAATTTATAAATTTGCATTGAACTCATTTAGCCTTCAGGGGTCATATTTTACCCCTCAAGGACAATTGAACAGACGTAAAAAAAGCAAATTCTTAAATTAAATATATCGGTTAAATATTTTTTTCCGTTCGAGAGAAAAACATTTTGTGTTTTGTTTTTTTATAATGAGAGGAAAATTTTCCTAAGTATAGGGACGGAAGGAACATGTGAAAAATTAGATTTTGTAATTTTTACGAAACTGATTTCTTGAAAATGCCAAAATTCGAATGTTTGTGTCATTTAAAACATTTTTATAACTGGAAGCACATATCTACGACCAATGGCTTCAAGAATTAAAACCGCGTAGATTTTTGTGCACACCGTGTATATGCATTTCTAACAGTTTGCAATAAGGATTTCAAAATTATCGATAAACCTAACGTTGACTGTGATGAATGGTGATACTTGAGTATTTTGTGAAGCAAGCATGGGAAATTTTTTTTTGCATAATTATTATCCGTTTATCCGGATAATGGGATAGTACTATGTTACATCCCATCTGAGACGGCTTTAAAGTTCTCTTAGTAAACAGCAGAGCGAAGTTATTTCGTATAACTAACAACGTATAGTCTTACTATACATTCGTATACGTATTGCAAATCGCTGGTGTTGCCATTAGTTATGTGGAGGCCCTGGGGATGTACCAAATTAAACATGTTGCCTTGACTGGCCATTCTGTAGCACAATTACTTAGATATCATTCCAACATTCTTAGATCTGTAAAGGTTCTTATTAAGCCCACAGTAGGATTTAAATAACAAGCGTACGGGCGAGTGCAGTAGAATATTCATTAAGCTGGATCCGTGCTCTGTCGTGCACTTTAGATGACTTGAATTATCTTCTTGATGAGAGCCATCGGCATTGGGATATCGCGATCGACGCTATTAAGAAAACAAA